ACTTCTCTGACTAGGCTAGTGAAGCACTCAGTTGAGCACACGGTTGTTCTCTTGAGATAGCCTTGTGGCACTCGAACAGATTGTATGCCTGCGGTAGACACACCTTTCAGCCACTAGTCTCCATGGGAAAAGGTGGCCTGGGACCTAGGTGTCATTGAGGAAACAGACAGCAGTTCCCATCCAAGTAGAGCCTCCCCGTGGAGCAGCTCCAGAAGCATAGTCAAGATAGATTGTGTATTGATGTCTATGTATTGTAAGAATAGAGTCACTGAATCATTACAAATCGGTGTGCTCACAGCAAGATGTTAGCTTTATGCTGTAGCCCCCAGGACACTGAAGAGCCCAGTTGCCGGTCTAGGCTCTGGAGTAGAGGGTAAATCACAGGCATATCTGTCCTGTGGCCTGCAGGCTGCATGCGTGTGTCCTGTATTGCTATAAATGTGGCCCAAACATTTGTGGGTAACAACATTCGGATGCACTGGAAGAAGTTTGGACAGCTGCCAGCATCCGGGTGGCTTAGTGAGGATGTTAGCTGGGGTAGTGGGGACGGGTGCGAGAAGGAGCTGCTGCCTCCCAATGCTCCTGTCAGCCTTGGAGGTCTGTGACCTAAATCCCAAATTGTCAGGGCATATGAGCAATTGGTAAGCCATGCCCCATTGGAGCCTCGTTATGCCCCGACTAGTTACAGCCCAAATCTAGCAGCTTAGAGGTAAGGAAGAGTGTGAGGAAGGAGTGAAGCTGTGGAGATTGGAGGAGGAACCCTGGAGGTAGTGATGTGTGGTCTAAGCCTTGAGTTCATAAATCCCTCCTCACTTACATCGCAAAGATGGCATCGTCAGCCACATATTAATTAGCTTTTGGGCTTAGCTTAGACTCAACAAAAGTAACTTTTGAGTGTTTTTTTTTATGCTGTGTGGATAATTAGGGGGTCTTTGTACATGTCCAAAGGGGTGTAAGAGAGTGTTATTGGGCCCTGTGACAATTTGATTTTGAGCTAATGTCTGATTTTTTTAAGTGGCACTGGTGCTTGCTTAATACATATTTATTAAATTTTAGTATCCCATTGAGTTAAATTCCTGGGCTCTATAGTTCCATGATGGGGAATACCCAAAAGCTTTATCTCCCTTCAGAAATGTTTCTCTCTTTCTAGGCAAAGGTCAACAACTCTAGTTTAATTGGAGTGGGCTATACTCAGACTCTGAGGCCTGGTAAGTATTGTTGATAAAGTAGGGTTGTTTTTACAGCCCTCTTCCCCTTTTAAAAACTAGTCATTGAAGTGTGCGGGTGTTCTGTCTGCTTCTGTGTCTGCACACTGGAGAGGGCGGGCGGGCAGTGGATCCCATGGGACTCTAGCTACACACGGCTTTGGAGCCACCACGGGGCTGCTGGGAATTGAACCCAGGACCTCTAGAAGAGCACTCGGTGTTCTTGACTGCAGTCGTCTTTCCAGCCCCATTTTTACAGTATTTAAAAAACTTTTTGGTTTTTCGAGACAGGGTTTCTCTGTGTAGCTTTGTGCCTTTCCTGGGACTCACTTGGTAGTCCAGGCTGGCCTCGAACTCACAGAGATCTGCCTGGCTCTGCCTCCCGAGTGCTGGGATTAAAGGAGTGCGCCACCACCGCCCTGCTTAAAATTTTTTTTTAGTGTATTTTGTGACCCTTGCAAGCCTGTCGTGGGGTTGACAGTCCTTTTCTGGGAAGTTGCAGCTCATGGCCCTCCCCCTTGCTCTGTGAGTGAGGAGGGCTGTCCTGAACAGGCACAGCGCCCTCACTACCCACTGCTGTCTAAATGCTGTCTTGGACCAGAGTTCACCTGGTGCGTTGGCTGGTCTGTCTCTGCGGTCCCCTTCAGGTCGGGGATTCCAGAGCAGCTCTATTTCTAACGAGCTCTGGAGGGCTTAGAGCAGTTGGCCAACAAGGTCCTGAAGTACTGGCAGCCCAATTTTCCTAGCGGGAACCCCACTTCCCACACCTGAAACTTAAAGAAAAGTGAAAGTGAACCCGAAAGGGCCAGTTACTGCTCACATACTCAGCACCCTCTTAGGTCAGCACCCTCTTACCTACCTGCTGTGTGTGCTTCCTACTTGTCCTCAGAGGCCTCTTTTTAGGGTTCACTTACAATCGGGTCTTTCCAGGGGTGTCTAGTCTGGGTAGTATAGTGACTGATATGGCTTCGAACGCTTTGAACTTATTACTAACCTTTTTCTGTCTAAGATGTACATTTCCCACAGTTCCCAGTGTCACGGTTCATCCAGTGCCCTCTGCTGGCCGGGATTAGTATGGTCGTTGCAGGCTGAGGAAGTATGGGTGGGCCCATCATGGTTGACTGTCAGGCCCTCATGGGGTTTGCTTTGTTCACAGGTGTGAAGCTTACTCTGTCTGCTCTGGTAGACGGGAAGAGCTTTAATGCTGGAGGCCACAAACTCGGGCTTGCCTTGGAACTGGAGGCTTAATCCAGTTGAAAGAAACCTCTGGGAACGGATTATCAGAAGATTTGGCCTTAATATATTTCCATGTGACCAGCAGGCTCCCCCTTCCCCCCAGAAGGTGATGAAATCAAAGGCTGATTAAACAAGAGCTGTATTTTGAATATTTAGACAGTTTCCTGTTGGCTGGTTTCTAGTTGGATGGTTACCTAGTTGTCAGGGCTGCCGTTGTGCGGCGCCTCCACATTATTTAAATGTATTTAATGTTCATGTGCTGCCCACCAATGATGAAATAGACGTTTATGAAAACCGGGCTATGGTCTGCATGTTTGTTTTCTGTTCCTTTAACATTGACCATTGTACTGAATGGATCAGTGGATGCTTTAAGATGAGGGAAGAGATTGTTTTGTGTTATAGTCAACCATCATTAGAATTACTTTGGTAACCCCAAACATGACAAATTATGAATAAAACGAGTGTACATAACTAATGACTCCACGTATGTGCAGTTACAGATTGGCCAGCCAGGGGCTAAACCCTGGTTAATACTTTCTGGTGAGCAGTTTGCTCTTTACCTTAATCTGTGCAGCTAAATTCCTGTGTCCTTAGCAGAATTCCACGAGACCTTTGAGACAACAATAAAATCAGAGGATACATACTTTAATACTCTTCATTTTCTAAGTTTGTGCAAATTTACAGTGAGTCACTGTTAACCCCACGGGTGATGCTGAATGGTTAAACAGGCATGCCGTACCCTTCGGAGGGTACCCACAGCCACAGAAAGTGGAGGAGGTCCTAGATAGGTATGGCGGGCAGAGGAGAAGGCGGTGCAGTGATGGGTGCAGAGAGGAGTGAACGGGCACCCCTTAGCCAGCACCCAGGGATCTGCATACCCCGTGATTCCGGTGGGAAGAGGAGGACAGCACAAGCTTCCCCAGGGAGGGTATCAAAGGTGGGAGGGGAAACCATGGATGAGAGAAGGGAGACAAGGGGCACACTTGTGGATGTAGAGACCCACGGTGAGTCGGAAGCTTTGGAGGAGAGCTAAGAATGGAGCGCGTGGGACTTCCCCATACACAGAAATGGGGCACGTGAAGAAGAAAGAGCCTCTAGGTTAAGAGTTTGACGTGTGGAGCTGAGGGACACAGAGGTGTCTTCTGGCCCCACTGTTTGCCCTAAGGGATTGGCAAGGGGCACCATATGAATGAGAAGACCGATTCCCTGAAAGGTTCCGTCTCTAGGCACCCATCACTGTGGAAGGTAACAGGTTGAAATTTGAGTCTGGATCCGTTGCTTGGTGAGAAGGAACTATGAAAGGTATCCAGACTGATGTGAAAGTAATGCTTGCCAACCTAAGCTGTCCTCAGCCCCCTCGTGGCCGATGCCCCTCAGCCAATGGGTACATTCCATGCTGCACTTTGGAGTTCACCTGTGGGCGAGCGTGTGTACACATGTGGGTTACCAGTATATAAGAGGCACTTCTCAGAGTGGACTGGACCAGGTCTCCTGTGTGCACTGGAGTGTGCACTTGTGACTTAGGGAGAAAGGGCTGGGGTGCAGCTAGTTCTTGAGGTGGGGCTTGGGCAGATTCAGCTCATGAAGCTGCACTTGGAGCAGTCTCTAGGTGTGTGCCCCCGGGGCCTGAACCCACAGGTGGCAAACCTGTGCGGTCCCAGAAAGTGCCCTCATTCTAGAGCAGCTGGAGAACTGTGAGGAGCAGAGTCCCAGTCAGAGGCTGGCTTCTTCCCCTGCCCCCCAAAGGACAATGCTAGAAAAGACTCAAGATCTTGAGGTGCCTTGAATGCTGCCTACTATCAAGTCTGTTTTACACCTTGGACATCAGTTCCCTCCCACAGGAGGGGGCAGCAGACAGAAATTTGATCCAACCTTAGGTCTTCAGGTCTAGGCCAAGATGGTTGGTTCTCAGTTGATGGCCACTGATTGGTGCTAATGGAGTTATTAAGGCAGCTCCACATAGTGAAAAGGGAGGTTTATTTTGGGGTAACTTACAAGTAAAGGGATAGGTTACAGGATCCGGGAGAGGTGAAGTGCAGTCCAGCGGTGATCTCTGGAGAACTCTGCTTGGTCTACTGTCCAGCATCCAGGATCACCAGGAACCAAGAGAGCCCTCCGGGTCTTAAGGGCTCTGGTCTCGGCCCCACCCCAGGGGCAAGTCATAGGTAGGCGTGACAGTTCCCGGAAGCCTCACTAGGGGTAGTACTTCCAGGTCAAAGCTGGACCAGCTACCCACTACAGAGGGCTTGCACTGCCCAGGTGAGGGTGGGGAGGCAACAGCCCTGTGAAAATGTGGGTAGACGGCCAGCAGCCCATGCCTAGGTTGCTCTCTAGCAGGACCCTTATCTTGTCAGACCCAGGAGACAGATAAGGCCCTCCCTTCCATCTAGCCCCCATAACCCGTTGGGAGTCTACTCAATGCATACAGCTGCAACAGTTTATTAAAACTACCCTGTCAGGGCCACAAGCCTTGGTGCCAGAGAGACCCTTTACTGGAAAAGCTGTCTGTGTTCCTGTAGGGAACACCACCTAGTGAACCAAATATGGATGCTCAGAAGGTCGTGTGTCCCAGTCCTTTTATTGTCAGGTTGAAAACAAGGGTCACTGGCTGGGGTTCTCCTTAGATCTTGAAGGCCAAGGAGAGCCCGTCCCCTAGGGGCAGGAGGCTGATGTAGATCCTGGCGTCCCGTAGGATGCGCTCATTCAGGTTCCTAACGCACTCCACAGCCTTGTCCCTGGGCTTGGGCTGCAGCACCTCTCCGCGCCACAGGACCTGTGGAGGGAGGGGCGGGCCATCGGGAGGGGGGGCAGGAGGGGCGGGGCCTACGGTGCTCTGGGCGGGGCTTGGGGGTGGGAGGGGCCGAGATGTCCGGGGGCAGTACCCGGCGAGGGAGCTGTCTAGCCTTCGCTAGTCCTTACCCTGAGCACGGCGAGCACGCCTCCGGGGCGAAGCAGCTGTAGACAGCGCTCGTAGTAGGCGGCACAGTTCTCCTTGTCAGCGTCCACCACCGCTACGTCGAAGGTTCCGGCCTCGCCCGCCGCTAGGAGCTCATCTTGCGGGGACAGAGGGCAGGTGCCGCTGAGCTGCGGTCCCGGTGGCAGGAAGCCCCTGCCCAAGGTTCAGGGTCGCCAGCTTGGTCCCCCAGGTTGGACAGTGCAGGCAGGGCCCCTCCCACGCCGGTGCTCACCCAAAGTCTGCAGGGCCGGCTGCAGCCGAAGGTCGATCTTCTGCTCCACTTCGGCCTGCGGAAGGAGGCCGGGTCAGACCGGCACGCCCCCGAGGCCGAGCACGCGCAGCCGCAGGCGCGGGACTCTCACCTGCTTCCAGAGGGGCCGCCCCAGCTCCGGGGGTTCCGCGTCCACCTCGCAGGTCACCACGCGGCCAGCCTCGGGAAGCGCCAGGGCTAGCGCCAGGGCGGAGTAGCCAGTGAAAGTACCTGTGGAACCGGACACCCACTGGCTCAGTCCAGGGTGCGGGGTGGCCCCGTGACTCGGGGTCCCCAGCGCCCCTGGCTGTGCGCCCCTACCCAGGTCCAGCGCTTTCTTGGCCTTGATGAGCCGGGCCAGGTTGGCCAGAAGCTGGGCCTGCTCACATGTCATCATGGAATCCCCCTGCGGCTGCTCCAGGGTCAGCTGTGTATGGAAGAGGGTGGTACGGTTCCTGCCAATCACCGCCCCCCCCCCCCCCGTACAGGTTTTGAACCCTGCAGGGGCGCGGTGGCAGGTGTGGCCTAGAGGGGGACAGGTCGCAGGGAACCCGGAAGCCCAGAGAGGGCCTCGGCCCAGCCCAAGGTCGCAGAGCCATGTGAGATCCACCATGCTGGGGAGTGAGGAACCTGTTCTCGCCCCCAGTCCTACTGACCAGTCGCAGGCTTCGCAGCGCCGGGTGCTCCCGCATGGAGCGGCTCAGCAGATACTGCCACAGGGGACTGTCCTCAGGGGGCAGCAGGCTCTGTTGTCGCCTGGACCCCCACGGAGGCCACCGTCTCCCTGCCGGGGAGAGGGTGCCGGATCAGGGCCTGGGGTTCTAACAGGGTTCTCGGGCTCTGCGCCGCGCCCTCCCTTTCCCGGGGCCGCCGCAGCTCACCCAGCAAGAGACCAGTGGCGAAGGCGGCGCCCAGCGCGGCCGAGCCCAGGGCCAGCGCGGCGGGGACAGACAGGCGAGGCAGTGGCTGAGCCATGGTGCTGGTGGTAGCAGGCGGTGGCGATGGTCACGTGTGCTGGAGTAGAGGGGATGGGACTGGGACTAGCGACTGGGCTCCACCTTGTCCAGGCCCTGGCCGGCATAGCCGCGGCCTCGGGCACCATCTGGTGACACATCGCCGTATTGCAAAGGTCAGGCTGAGAGAACCGCGCGCCACCCGGTGGCCGCATGTGGAACTGCTTCGGGCCGGGGAGCAAGCCCTTGTCGCTGGGGCTCTTGCTGTGTCTGCAGTGTGACCGACCGCCCCTCCTGGCTGCTATTGTTGAGGCCCCCGAGGCATATGTGAGCATGGGGAGCGGGTCGGGGGTGGGGGGAGGTAAAATGAGTGTGTGGCCAATGGAAGTGTTCAGAGAGACTTCAGGGACGCTTCCTGGAGAGGTGCCCAAGCGGAAGGAGCCGAAGACAGGAGACAGGCAGGGCTTCAGGAGCCCTGGGGCACCTAGTTAGTGGGTTCCGAGACAGTATCCTTAGCAGCAGGGATGCTGGGTGTAGCATTTTCTGCCTGTCCGTCTTTCCGAGTTTCCTTTTTGTGAAGAAGGGTTACAGTCTTACCACGAAAGGCACCAGATTTCTCGCACACAGTAGGTGTTCAATAGTGGTAGCTGCTGTTCTGGGCATCTTAGGCAGGCGGCAGCTGAGTTCCCCTTGCAGGGCTATTCTACCAGGCTGGTATTCCCTAGGCGGTTATTGAATACCTACTGTATGCTGAACTCTGGTGGAAGGGGAAGGCGGCGATGGTTTGTGGCTTGGAGACAACCGGCCAGGCACAACTGGTAGGCAGCCCCCATCTTCCTGTCCCCTCTTCTATAGGGTGAAGTCATTGCTAGTCCTCACTGCGCACAGCACCTGACAGAGTTCCCAGCGAAAAGACAGGCACAGGCCTTACACACAGGCTATCTGAGCTAATTTTTGTTTTTTTCCTGAGACGGTTTTTCTGCGTAGTTTTGGTGCCTGTCCTGGATCTCACTCTGTAGACCAGGCTGGCCTCGAACTCAGAGATCGAACTCAGAGATCCGCCTGGCTCTGCCACCGCCGCCCAGTTTATCTGCGCTACTTTTAAAAGAGATGCAATCCGCAGGGCCCCTGAGGTGGTTGCCTTGGAAGCCTGTTTCTTAACGACACCGGCCAGGTCCTGAGACCCTCAGAAGGCAGGCAAGCCGGGCAGGATGAGTCCCCAGGCAGGACTAGAGCTGAGGGAGAGGCCGGAGTACTGGGCCCCAGGAGGTAAGGGCAGGGCTGCCTGGCTGGAGAGCAGCGCCTCCATTCACAACCAGGGTAGATTGGCTTCTTGACCTATGGGCGTCTGCCCGGGGCGGGGGGTTGGGGGCGCAGCTGGACAGAAGAGAAACCCGCTTTCTCTGGGTGTGTGCTGAGCTCTCCCAGCTGCTCCTGGAGCCCGCCTCGAGGACAAGCTCTTTGTCCTCACTGACTCTCGACATCCGGTTCGGTCCTGGAAAATGTTTCTAAGTTTGAGCCATGTTCTCCAGGTGAGGATCGAGGAAGAGGCCGCGCCTTAGGGCTGAGCACCCGACGGGCACTAAGTGCGAGCCTTCTGAGTGATGTCCTGGTGGTCCCACTCCGCGGCCAGCGGTGAAAACGGGCAGGGGAAGCCTTTACCGAGCACACCCAGCGACCCTGGCGGCAGGGTGTTGTTTCCCATTTTCCGGAGAAGGAAAGGGAAGCCCTGAACGGGTCACCTCTCCAAGCTCACGGTCCAGCGGCCTGCTCTCCTAAATTCTACCGACTTTATCAGTACTTCTCCGGGACGCACACAGTGGGACGCACACAGTGAGGTCCCCGCAGGACCTCAGCCCGCAGCATGCGGCACATGGCGCCCGGCCTTGGCTGGCGCCCTCTCTCCCATACCTGGGGATCCGGGTGCCTCTCGGGTCCCCAGTTCACACCACAGCCTTCCTCCCCCAACCTGGCTTCAGGCAGGAGCGGTTGGAGGTGGGGGGAGAGGGGAGCGGGCGGGGAGGGAGCCATGTCACCATATATCCCCGTCAGATTAAAAAACTAATTTGAAAAGATTAATGCCTTCCATTCCTGTTACGTTGGCTCTGCTACCTCTGGGCCTGCGGCCGCTCTGCCTCCTGATTATTGAATTTTTATGGCCTGGTAATTAATTGCAGATTCCCTGTTTTGTTCTATTTCTTTTTCTCTGACATTTTAATTTCAACAGAAAGCACCGGTCTCTATGCAGATTCTCTCTGGAGACCCTAATGGTCTATAAAACAGAATGACTTATACACGTGGCCCCCACTTCAGTTGGCGGCCGATTGTTTGAGACCTTGCTGATCACGCAAAATTTAATTTTCCCGCCCCCTCCCCTTTCTGCTCCTGTCTCTTGTCCCTTCCACCTCAGCTCCAGCGCCTCCCCTCACCACGGAGGGGGCAGAGTCGCGATCTGTTGCAGGGCCTTGTCTTTAGGAGGTCGGGGGCTGAAGTCAAGACAAGTGAACTTGGCTGGGTGCATGGAGCTGGGTGCATGTAGATAAAGGGACATTCTTGGCCAAACTGGGTCACAGCTGTTCGCAGACACAGGGATGGGACAGACCCTTGGGTTTCTGCCTGATGCCAGACTTCTCCTTCCGGCCCTGCTAACATCACGTTGCCTTGTCCTCTCTTCAGAGCCCCACCCCCACCCCTGGGTCAGGCGGATCAGAGCACAGCACAGGTGAAGACAAGATTAAATTGAGCCGAAGGGCGGGGCAGCGGTGGCGCAGGCCTTTAATCCCCAGCTCTCCGAAGGCAGAGCCAGGCGGATCTTTGTGAGTTCGAGGCCAGCCTGGTTTACAGAGAGAGTTTCAGGAAAGACAGGGCTACACAGAGAAACCCTGTCTTGAAAAACTAAAACCGAAACAAACAAACAAAAACCAAAACCAAAAACCAAACAAACACCCCCCCCCCAAAAAAAAAAAACCAAAAAACAACAACAACAAAACAAAAAGAGTCTAAGGGCTGGGAACTTGGGTGTCTCCAGGAGCCAGGCAGGTGAGGTAAATCAAGGGAGGTGATAGAGTCCCATGGGGACTGTGTCACTCCAGTGCTCAAGTGCCATCAGAGGACACGGTAGCCACTCAGCATTTACTGTGAGATGGAAAGATGGCCCAGTGTGGCTCGTTTACAAACCTGGGTTTGGTGCTGTAAACAGTCATCCGGGCCGTGGTGGCGCACACCTTTAGTCCCAGCACTCGGGAGGCAGAGGCAGGCAGATGTTTGTGAGTTCGAGGCCAGCCTGGTCTACAGAGAGAGTTCCAAGACCGCCAGGGCTACACAGAGAAACCCTGTCTCAAAAAACTAAAACAAAAACAAAGAAGCAAAACCAGTCAACACATGCTCGCACGGCTTTGAACTGTGTCTGACCGGGCTCACAGGGCCTCCTACTCATTCCTGGACAGAGAAGTCAGGACATGAAGCAGGATCCATCTGCCCATCCCGGAGTGGCCCCCAGAAACTCTTCTTCTCTTTGGGCTCTTTCGGTATTGGTCAGCTTCTCCTGGGCTGTCGAGACATCTTTGGATGGAGTGCCAGGGTTTTCCTGTCTCTCACAGAGAGAAACTTGCAGCCCCTCTTAAGTAGAGATTTTGGGAGGGCTAGACTGAGACTCTGAGGACCCTAAGGACAATTCAAGGGAGGCCTCAGACCACAAAGCAGGGGGTTCTGTGCCCCCCAAACTGGCTGGGGCAGAACTCACAGACTGGGTAGCTTCTGTGCTTGGATGCTGGGCAGCATTTGAGAGGCCAAGTAAGGCAGCAACAACATGGGCTCTTGGGTTAGGTGGACTGGGATTCAGACGTGGGACCCGGGGGCCTCACCCTGGGTGAGCTCAGGACCTCTCAGTTGGATGAAACGGGATCGTTATGTTTTTCGGACCTTAGAGGTTTGGGGACCAGTGTGTGGGGATATTGGGAGTGGAGAGCCTAGTTAGAGGAAGCAGGGCCATTGTGTGTGTGTGTGTGTGTGTGTGTGTGTGTGTGACTGTGAAGGGAATATCGGGACCCTGCCCTTTCCTCTGTAACTGCTTCCCATTCTTCATGAAATAAAGAGACTTATGGCAACTCTCTCTGCCAGTGTGAGGTACGGGTACCACACACACAGCAACTAGCTGGATGACTAGGAACCAAAAACTGAAATTGTGAGCCAAATAATCCCTTTCTAACCCCCTTTCAAGATGGTCTCCCCCTATATAGTCCAGGATAGCCTTGATCTTCTGTTCTTCCCACCTTAGCCTCCCAAGTGCCAGAATTACAGGGTCCAACACCATGCTGGTTTCTCTCTCTCTCTTTTGGTTTTCCAAGACAGGATTTCTCTATGTAGCAGCCCTGGCTGTCCTGGGACTCACTCTGTAGACCAGCCTGGCCTCGAACTCACAGAGATCCACCCGCCTCTGCTTCCCAAGCGCTGGGATTAAAGGCGTACGCCACCACCGCCCGTCTGGCTTCTGTTTTAAAGTTGATTTGTTTTCACGGCCTGTCACTGACTGCCATGGGGGTGATGCTTCTTAGTTTTCCATTGCCGTATCTTGAATGTACACAGACCTATCAGCTTAAAAATACCAACGCTCGGTCCTGCATCTGCGAAGGAAGGAGAAAGAAGCCCTGCGAGGTCAGGACTGGATGCTTGCCCTCTCCCGAGTCTGGCAGTTGTCAGGGTGAGGAGGCCTCTTCCAAGTTCAGGAGCTGTGGACACAGCGCGCTTCCTTCTTTAGAGTCCTGCATCTCAAAGGCCAGTCATGGTGCCTGGAATCTCCTGGTGCTTTTGATCTGCCTTTCATCTTGGCTTCCAGGGGCTCCTGTGGAGACTTCGTGACCTCCCTGTTTTCAGGTGAGCTGGCTAGGAGATGAGCTTCATCTGCAAAGCCTTCTTTGCCAAGTAAGAGGCAAGGTCGTTACCAAAAGAGTAACATTGATGGTAGAAGCCTTGGGGCCAAAACTCGGCCTGCCACAGTCTCCAGACTTCCCGGAGTGGTTATAAGGAGGCAGACCCTGCCTGCCCTGCCTCTACCCTCGAAAAAGCAGATTCAGCCAGACCAGTGTGCCCGGCAGGGTCTCTTGATGACAAGCCACAGCGCCACCTAGTGGCTAACAGCAGGTTCGACTTTACAACACACAATTCTCTCCAAACAGCGCCTGGAGAGGCCCAGACTCAGCTGGGACGTCACATCACCTGTGGCATCTTAAGTCTGTTCTAATGAAAACCCAGCGTCTACCACAGCCCTCATGTCTTGGTGAGACTCCACCACGAGCACCACCAAGGTAGATGGCCTTTCTCCTGGATCTGCACCTGGCTGGGCTGCCCAAATTTGCTGGTACAGTGCTTCTGATTGGCTGAAGCATGCTGCCGTGCTTGCAAGAGTCGTGGCCACGCCCGGCTAGACTCTCTTATTTTTCTTTTTCCCTTGCAGAGAAAGTGGCTTCTGCCCTAGCTGGAGCTTGCGACATCCCTGGCTTTGCTGCTGAGAGCAGTCACCTGGAGTGGAATTCCGGAGCGGTACAGGGAATCCCGCCAGGTGTGTGTACACGGGATAAAAGCAGTTAATACTTCCATCAGTCTTGCCGTGTCCCAGCCACTCCTTAGGATTTCCTGTGGCCCTTTTCATCCTCACACCCATAGAGTGCCGGGGGCCATTGTACCCCCATCTCGGCGATGTGGAAGCTGAAGTATGGGGGGAGGGGAAAGCAACTTACCCCACATTGCACAGCTTATAAGTGGTAAGTTCGAGGCCAGCCTGGTCTACAAAGCGAGTTCCAGAAATGGCACAAAGCTACAAAGAGAAACCCTGTCTTGAAAAAAAAAAGTGGTAAAGATTTGAACCTGGGTTTCAGGACCACACCATCCTGCAGGAAATACCTTCCTCATCGTGGACTCAGACAATCAGGAGAGAGGAAGAGACGGAACGACTCACTTCCCTCTTTTCAAGAAACGAACAGTGTCCTGAGGGGTCCCACAGACTTCGACTTTTATTCTTTGGACAACAGCCACATGGTCACACTTGCACCAAACAGACAGCTTTTATTTTGGCAATTATGAAAAAGCAGCTGTAACTTTAGAGCTGGAAGAAAGGATGGTGGTGACTGAGAACATGTAGCATGTCGCCACACTTTTTATATAAGAAAAACTGAGGACCCCGAGAGGTCAACAATCGTCTGGAGGTCAGTCACATAGCTGGGAAAGGGTGGAACAGGTAGGGCCCCAGAGACACGTCCAGCGGAGTCCTCAGAGGGGAGGACCTCTCTGTACACTCCCCAGCCTTTAGGAGCACCCAGGGCCATGGCTCAGATCTCCAGTGCCCTGCAATGCTAGCCACCTCTCTGGCCCAGGCCCATCCTGGTGGCACCAGCCATGCCCGGCACTGACTCCATCCATCCCACTAATGCCCACATCAGCTGTGCTCACAGCATTCCTGAGGCGGCCTCCTGAGCACTGAATAATTCAGGCCCATGTAATGGGATAATGAATTTACTGACAAGCCAGTGTGGTCGCGGTACTTACAGTCTAGAAATACTGACTCCCCAGGCCCACTAGGCAGGCAGGCAGGCAGGCAGGCTTGTCCTACCATCAAGAAGCTGGGTGAAAAGCCCCAGCCTTTCCTGGGGAACTCAGCCTGATGGAGTAAGAAGCCCGCTTGGGTCTCAATGGTTCTCCCACTTCTGGGGGAAGTGGCTGGGGCCAGGGGCGGCCTGGTGGGACCTTTACCAGGGGAGCAGAACCAGATAAAACAGCAGAGATGGGTGGGAACACGCAACCCCCTCCTAGGAGCCCTGGTTCTTTATGAGGCAACCAAGGTTGAGGCTTTGTAGCCCTGTCACTGTTTTGTGCTGGGAATTTCGGGGTGACTCCGAACCCTTGGGGTGGAGAGAGACCTGCTTCCTTTCCTGCTAACTTGTTGCTCACCTGCCCCAGCTGCCATGGTTTGCACGTGTCCCTCTCTGGAGACGATCGCTTCCACCTGGCGGGCAGGAAGGCGGGCGCCTCTCCTCTCAATCTGGCTGGGGGGTGACTGAGGACGAGTTGGAATGCCTGGATGGAAGCCTCCCCAGCTTGGAGGAGGGATGAGTACTGTGAGGCTCTGCCACTTCAAGCCCTTCCTCTGGCCCACCCTCCCCTCAGCTTCCACCCTCCCCTCAGCTTCCACCCCCTTCCTCTCCTCTCTGCCTCCTGTCTGGGGCACTGTCTATGGGAACGGATAGACGCTCTTCCTGGCCTGAACCCTGCCAGCCGAGGACTCCATCAGACTACGATCCTCAGCCCTGGCTCTGCTACGTGTCAGGACGTCCTGTCGGTATGGGCCTCAGTTTCCCATCTGTGTGGTGGTGGTGGGAGGAGGTTCTCAGGGTCGTTTCGGGGCTCCAAAGCCCTGGGATGTGTCCTGAAGAGCAGGAGGCTCTCTCTGATCCTGGCCAGCCCTGCCCCACATGCTCACAGGACTCTTCCTAGGTAAGTGTTTCCCTGGTCATCTAGGAACCCCAGAGAGGGGTTTCCCCGATCCCTCCTTGTCAGCTGAGTGGTAGACCAGGGAGGGAGATGATTCCATAAGGCAGGGAACTCTGGAACCACAGCTGGAGCCACAGCTGGGGTTTGGAGGAGACGGTAGCTGTGTGACATGTGAGCCTGAGCTCGCAGCCACCTGGAGGATATTGCTGCACTTGTGTTGGGACTTTTCTCCGAGAGACTGGGGCTCCGGGTAAGGCAAAGGCATGAGAGCCTTTGAGGATGAAAGGATGGCTTTGTCCAGTCCAGAACCCTGGCGTTGACCCATCACCACCTTCGGGCAGAGGTAGGCCGGGGCTCACTTCAGCTTGGGAGTTTTCTGTGCCCAGGTCCAGGGTGGTGCCAATGCCTTCAGCTTCCGCTTGGAGCTGGAACTCGTCAAGACTTCTTCAGCTGGTGGCTGAAGGACAGAGTGGGTGGTTTCCCTGTAGTAGCCAGGAGGCTCAGGCTGGGCGAGGGGAGCCATGTTACTTCCCGGAGCCTGCTCGTCCTGCTCAGTTGGTTCCCGCCTTTCTGTGTCCCAGGTTCCAGGCAGGTAGGCTTTGCTGTCTTAGATCTTCCGGTTCCCAAGCCAGAGGTCCCAGTTCAGCTATTGTAATGGTCTTAAAACATGGAACATTCTGTGTCCCCAGCCTGGTCTGTTGTCAACCATCTATGACAACCATTGTAACTAGAGCACCGGGCAGTGATGCTGTGAGGCTCTAGGCTGGGCTAGAAAAGGTCAGACCTTCTCTCGGATTCTTCCAGAAACTTACTCTCTAAGAGGTCCATCTTCCCCAGAGCCCCTGTGGGCACAGACACACGGACTAAGAGATGCTCAGACAGCCCCAGCTGCTTGAGTCTCTTGAGCCAGATGTTAGACACGTATCTTGGGCGTCTCTGCCGTGCCGTTAACTATCCATCAAATGCCTGCACTGCGTGATGGAGGAGAGGGAGAAGGGCCGGGTGAGTCCAGCAGCCTCCAGGTTGAGCCAAGCATGGTTTCGTAGGTAACTCATGCTGAAGGAGACAGAGACCTGGTGGCTCAGAATTGCTGCGACCAGGGCCAAAATCCTAGTCTCAGCAGGGTGTCCGGGGGAGTTGTCTGCTCCTGGCTTCTCCCTTGCTTGGATGTTGTGGGCAATGCTTGGCACCCCCCAGCTTGTGGGCGAGTGTCTTTGCATGCATTTCCACTGGTTTACACTGTGTCCAGATTTCCCTCCCCTCATCTGAACACCAACTATCTTGGATTGTGGGGGTAAGGGGGTGTCCTCTGCCAGCCTGTCTCCTTTTAACAAATGACATGTTCAATGACCCTATTTTGACATAATGGTCACATTTTGAAGGACTGGGTATTAGGACTTCAAGCTATCTCATTGTGGAACACATTCAACCCACAATCCATCATTTGGAGGTACTTGTTATGTAGCAATGGTTGTTTAGAGCACTGCAATTATGGGATGGCTGGGATTGCAACTAAAACACCAGTGGAAATGTAATGAGATGGAAAATACTTTCCAGAACATCCCTCCAGGAGGGTTACTGCATGCCGTGGGAATCACTGATTTACTAAGTAACTTGGGGTTGGGATGGGGTCTAGACCCTCTCCCAGAGTATGAATGTTCCAGTAACAATGAACTTGAATAACAGGCTGCTTCTGAAATGCCTCCTGAGGTAGGGAATCAACTTGGGTTTTCCTTTGGGGGAATATTCCTTTCCTTCAAGTAAATGCTGACAACTTGAAGAAAATTAGAGTATTAGATTGTTCCAGCTCCTTGTGTCTCTGGATGGCATCGCTTACTCCATCGGAACAAGACACACTTTGAAGTTCTGTGTCCCTCTTGAGTGTCTGGCTTCCTTGGGGACTTGGCACAGTCTTGGGGACAGGAACACACTCTATCTTATTTCCTATCAAATCCTCAGCACAGTTCTTGGCACACAGTAGGTACATTGCAGCTCTTAGCTCAAAGGATGAACACTGAAAAAAGAACAAAGGGATTTTAAATACTACATAATAACTAAGGATTTAAAGATCAGTTAGCTTCAGAGCATGAAAATGTTGAAATCCCCTTGAGTTGATGGGAGAGTCTGTAAGAGACAGAATTACCAGAGGCCAGGAACAGATTAAAATTATTGTTACCAGGGAATAAATGACTCTCAGGGTGGCCTCGAACTTCCACAGCTCAAATCTCTGCACATAAGAAAGAGGCAAAGCTTATAAAAATCACCAGGAAGAGCTGATAAACAGATTGAAATTAGGGCTGGAGAGATGGCTCAGCGGTTTAGAGCACTGACTGCTCTTCCAGAGGACTCAGGTTCAATTCCCAGCTCACAGTTGTAACTGTGACTCCAGTTCCAGGGGACCTGACACCCTCATACAGACACACATGCAGGCAAAACACCAATAAAATACACAATTAAAGGCACAGATTTAAATTAATTACGTATGAAAAACTCAGAACAGACACAGCTGGAGATGGAATCTGTAAAATGAAAGGTTGGGAAAAAGTATAGAACCACAGAAAGATGAAAATGTACAAGGAGTTAGGAGATATTAGAGTTGGAATTAAGATCTTTAATGCATATCTAATCAAATTATTTGAAAGGAATTATAGAAATGGGAAAGAGGCAATATTGAAAATGACGGTAGCTCATGGTTTTCCAAGATTATTGAAAAAATGTTAAGTCTGGTCTGGGGAAATGGCTCATTGGGTAAATGCTTGCCACGCTAGCCTGATCCCACCTTTGGGTCCCTAGAAGCTATGTAAAAGCCAGATGTGGTAGCACACATCTAACTCCAGCAGCCCCAGGGGATGATGGGAACTGGAGACAGGAGAATCCACTGAAGCTTCAAGGATGCAGAGCTGACTGAGGAGACACCCAGTTTTAAACAAGGTCAGACGTGAAGGCTGACACTCAGTGAATTTGTTCTCTGATTTTCACACACACACCATGGCATGTGTGCCCCTGCACTCACACATGTGAACTTGCATGGACACACAGACACACAGTAAAACACAGAACGAGAGACCCCCAAAGTCTTAACTTTGTACCCCACAAAGTACATGCCTGTAGCCCCAACCCTTGGGAGGCAGTGGTAGGATTGGGAGTTCAAGCTAGTTTCAGGGATGTGTTTTGCCCAAAGTCAGTCTAAACTACATAAGACCCTGACTCAAAGGCTTTCTTCTACAGGAATTGCAGTGATTTCAAGCAAGCTGGATTAAAATGAATTCATATACAGACACATCGTAGTCACATAGACCAATACCAGAAAATAGAAGCTCTTGAAAGAATGAGAAAAAAATCGTTTACATAAAAATCACTTTTATGATTAGAAGAGGTAAGACTAATGGCTGATTAATAACAGTATCTACTGTAGCAATGCAAGGAAAACATTAACTTTGAAAGAGACAAATTTATATTTATTCTATGTGTATGAGTGTGTTTGTCTGCATGGATATGCACCATATGTGTACAGTGCCTGCAGAGACCAGAAGAGGGGGTTGCATTCTCTGGAACTGGAGTTAAAAACAGTTGTAAGCTGCCATGTGGGCTCTGGGACCCGAACTCAGGTCCTCTGTAAGGACAGCAAGGTGGTGGTGGTACACACCTTTAATCCCAGCACTCAGGAGGCAGAGGCAGGTGGATCTCTGTGAGTTTGAGGCTAGCCTGGTCTACAGAGTGAGTTCCAGGACAGCTAGGGCTGCTACACAGAGAAACCTTGTCTCAGAAAACAAAACAAAACACCCAGCAAGTGTTCTTAACCATCCAGCCATTTCTTCAACCTCAGAATATTAACTTTGAAACAAGCTTTAAATCAGGCATAGTGGCATGCCTTTAATCCCAGCTCTTGGGAGGCAGAGGCAGGAGAATTTCTTTGATTTGAGACCAGCCTAGTCTACATATCAAGTTCCCGGCCAGCTAGGACTGCACAGTGAGACCTTGTCTCAAAACAAAAAACACAGCATAAAAGTAAAGTTAATTCAACAGACAATTGTTAATTTCAACAATGTTTTGAAAATATGTTGTCTATGCACAATGGAATATTACGCATCCATAAGAATGTGAAATTCATGTGTGGCACCATGAATGGAACAAGACACTATGTTACACGAAATAAACCAGGAGCAGAAAGTTAAACATTCCCACTCATTTATAGAAGCTAAAAATGTTGATTACGACAAAAAAAAAAATCTGATTTCAAAATTGGGTGAGTGAGGGCTGGGGATCTGACCTCATGGCACAGTGCTTGCTTAGCATGCTAGAGGTCATTGGTTAACCCCTGCACCACTAAACAAACGAATAGAAAAGGAATAAAGGGAGGGGAATGGGACAGATAATCTGAGTAGACTTTCCTCAGATGGTTTACACACTATGAACAAATACATGAAAATGTTCCCCATCGCTAATCACAAAGGGAATGAGAATTAAATCCAAGAGAGATCACCTCACCCCAGTCACAGTGACTCATAAAAAAGATGAAAAATGGCCGGGCAGTGGTGGTAATCCCAGCACTCGTGAGGCAGAGGCAGGCGGATCTCTGTGAGTTCGAGGCCAGCCTGGACTACCAAGTGAGTCCCAGGAAAGGCGCAAAGCTACACAGAGAAACAAAAAAAAAAAAAAAAAAAAAAAAAAAAAAAAAAAAAGATGAAAAATAAGAGATGCTAGCAGGACACTGAGAAGGGGAGACGCTCCCACACTGTTGGTTGGGTGTCAATTAGTCAAGCCATTCTGGGAACAGTATGGA